CCTACAAGTAGGGAAAAGTTTGGTTGTGCGCGATTTAAGTGTCTGAGCGTCGGACCAGCAAATGAAAGGTTACCGGTTCAAACTTGACAGTAATTTTCAATTTTCATATTTGTTTAGCTAATTTGTTTTTATTCACACATTATTGCCAGAATCTGAACGTCGAACCAGCAAATGAGAAGTCGCCGGTTCAAATTTGACAATTATTTTCAACTTTACTTTTACGTGGGTTTTGCCAGGCCCCAGGCGCGAACTGACGGAATATTGATTTTAAATTGGCCGATAAATAATTTGATCGTGCATATACCGTAAAAAGAAGATATAGCTCTACTCACATTATACTCTCTCTCTCTCTCTGTATCTCTATTGCAGCTGATGTACAGCATCATGGGTCGCTGTTCACGTTGTTCCTGCACTCCCCGCTCACGGCGCTCTGCTACATATGCAATGTGGGAGATGTGCCGATCCATCACTGGGAACGCTGCCAGACCTATGTGGATCGCTTCATAACAGAAGCCTCGCGCCTGGTCACGCGTTGTCGCATCGATGAGATCGAACAGGGCATAGGATTTATCGGTAAGAGGTCTCGCTCTGAACATTGCAGGTCTTTACTCTAATGGGGTTGATCTTTTTTGCCTTTTAGATTCCTCCTATGTTCAATTCTTTGGCGATGATTTTCTGCGCACACTCATTCTACGTTTCGTCTTCTGTGATGTGGTGCTGCGTTTGCATCGCGGTTTCCGTGGACGCCACATGCGACCGCGCTGTGAGCCCCAGCTGCCGGCCAACGAACTGCTCGAGCATCCCTCGCTGTCGCATATCGTTTTCCAGCTGGCATCGGCGCTCGATGTGCGCGGCCATTTCTCGGAGGGACCCGAGTGCGACTGATGACTTTTTTTGGCCGTAGTCTTAGTTCTAGTCGTAATTTTCTACACGAGGCTGTTGCCCCTCTACTGCCCGGACAGACAGTTTTCGTTGTTGCATTATCTGTACAATACTTTTTCGCTGGCAACGAGCTGCAACGTTAGCTGAAACTGGCAGGCCGGTGGCCAATTAAGTGGGCATCTGAAATAAAATGAAAGGAACTCCATTATGTGTTTGCCGCTTTTGTCGATATCAGGGCTGCAAACTAACACAAAAAGAAAGGTCGCCGGTTCGAACTAACTTCCTGCTTTGAGGCGTGGCTCGTGAGCCTGGTTTTCTACATCCGAAATATCCAGGCTTTTCTTTATTTCACTGATACATATATTTTTAAATTCTTAATAAAGTTATTTTATTCTATGCAAACTTCCACAAAAGAAAGGTCGCCAGTTCGAACCAGATTCCTGCCTTAAGGCGCGGCTCGTGAACTTGGTTTATTAAGCCCGAAAACCCAGTTTTTTTTTTCACTTTACTTCACTTTATCATATATTTTTAAAATCTTAATAAACTAGCGCAAAAAGAAAAGTCGCTGGTTCGCACCAGCTTCCTGCTTCGTGAACCTGGATTTCTACACCAGAAAAATTCACATTTTGTTTCACTTTATCATATACTTTGAAAAAATCTTAATAAAGTTATTCTATTTATTGATCTCTGCCCAAATATGGTCCGTTAAAACCCAAGTTCTTTATGCTTTATCCTTAAGACTTCTCCAACAGTTTTTTACTTTTAACTAAACCATTTTTGAATAAAAATGGTTCATTTCGGGTTTCGATTCGGTTGTTCTTTAGGCAACTAGTTCCATTTAGGTTTCGGCTCATATTTAACAAGAAATTGGAATTCAGAGTTCGAACCGGTTCGGTTCAGAAACTTGTTTGCAGCCTTGTTCGAAATTGCATATTAAATTTTTATAACATACAGACAAGATAATATTTACATAAATATAAATACATATATATATATATATAAATTATACGCGAAATATATAATAATAATAATCAAGTAGCTAGTTTTCTTATATAGTGCGTCGCGCAATGGAAAGGTCCAAAGTTAGTTGCTTAGCATATACATAATAATAATAATAATAATAATAATAATAATAATAATATTGAACATAAAAGTTATACACAACACAAATCTTGATATAAATTAAACATAAAGCAGCAAAAATAACGAAACCTAACAAAAAACGATAACTGCCAAAAGAGAAGAAGAAAATGAATCAAATTAAGTTGAACAGCTATTTTAAAAATTTGAAAACAATTTTTAAGCGAAACAACAATTAAGATTAGAGAGCAGGAAAAATAAAAATAATAAAAACAAAACATTTTCATACGCAGCGATAAACGTTTAGCTTTTATACAACAGTTAGAGGAGAATATAAATAAATAAATATATATATATAAAAAAAAAAAAAAACGAAACTTAAATTAAAATCTATAAACACGACACACTATATAAGAAATGCGTTTTTTTTTACTGCATTTTCATGCATGTACACGAGACGCTTACAACAAATTAACATAAACAACAACAAACGAATAATAATTCTAATAAATATATTGTACGTATGTAATATTGCATATAGGTATTATTATGATTACAAGATGACTGAAAGTTACTGTTTCAAAACGCAAAAACAAACGAAAACGAATAAACAAAAATTTAGCAAAAATAATAATTACTTATACATATATATAGATATATATATATATATATATATATATATATGTGTATATACAAAGGATAGTTAAGCTAACGAACGAAAAGTAAAATAAAAAATAAAAAAATAAATATATACAAAATATATTTTGCGTATGTTAAACAAAATTTAAATTTAAAACAATCCCAGCAAAACATTTTATACGAAACTCAAAACTAAAACTAAATAAAAATCTATACTTAATAAAAATACAAAAACAATATCATGTTTCGGCATTCGCATTCACACGAACAAACCCCTATAAACGAATTGCCATTATCATATCGCTGTGTTCCCACAAAGTAAATACGAAATTTATTGGTTTTTTTTTTTTAAATATATCGAAGGAATGCTCGAGCATGACATATAACTGATAGAAAATCGAATGGATTCATAGGCAAGCATATACAATATTTCATGTATGCATATAAAACTAGTTAAACGCATAGAAAAATACCCAACGGGCCTGTTAAAGATTTCGATGCGGTGGCAACTTTTCGGAATCGAAATAAAAACGTGTCATTTGCAAATTTCGGAATGTTAAGTAACCCATTTCATTATATTGTAATATTAGTGCAGTATTTACAAATAGAAAAACTTTTTCTTGCTTGCATAAACATTTTTTTCTAATTCTCAATTAAAAACTACAAGCCTCAAGAAACCTATCGAAATAAAACGAATCGTTCGAGTGGAAATGAAACCGTTTCAAAATCGATTCGGATTCACGAATTCGGAATCACATCGAAGTCTCGAACCGGCCCGCATATTTGACAGACCCACAAAACAAAAGTAAATAAACACCGCAAAAACAATTCAAATTACATTCAATTTTATAGTTTTTCTTAAAAAAATTTGTGAATTTCAAAGGCGAGAAGTTAAAAGAAAAACCAATAACAAAAATATGTAAAATTTCTCAAGTCTCAAGCTGTCTTATAAACAATACGAAACGACAATTATTTTCCAAGGTTCTTAAATACTCTTCTTCTTCTTTGTTAGCAACAAACGAATTGTATAGAATTTTTTAATAAATTTGTTTCAAACTTGTGTACATACAAACATATGTAATTCTTAAATGAAAAATAAGAAAACATATGAAAATACGATTTAAAAGAAAATGCTCTTGGTGAACCAAATGATAATATTATTGCTAGCGCGTTAACATTATTTTCATTAACATTAGATTTTGTACATTTGAAAATTGCATTTACATAAGCATAAAACTGCAAAAAGTAAAAATATATAAAACAAAAAAAAAAAAAAAAAAAAAAAAAAAACACAAACACAAAATAATATGCAAATTAATTCATGATTAATCAGCAACATTAGCCACACGTAAGCGATACAAATCCCACAAAGAGTACATTCAAACATAATCATAAGCGAATTGTTTAAAACACACACACACACACACACACACACACACACTATCAACCCATTTAACAACAAAACAAACGATAACAACAAATTTAGCAAAGCCACAAAAAATACAAAACATTAAACAAAATGACAACAAAAACATATGAAAGTATGGGTACGAGAAGGGGAGCGTATGGAGTTTGTATGAGAAATAAGAATAAAGCACATGTTTGAAAAGAAAATCTGTTTGTGTTTAATATTTATTTAGTCTAAAATAGACTGGGTTTGGGCTGAGCAGAGGTCACTCGACTCGGGTGTGGCAGGATTTGCAACAATGTCCTGCCACAATCTCCAATTCCCTAACTGGGCTTTCCGCAAGTAATGAAATCTTACCTCGCCAGAGTCTTTCCAGCTCAAAATGAAACAAGAGCGACTACCTCGAATTAAATACTCTTTCAAGTTATCAGATATGTGAGGAAAATTGTGAAGTTTCTAATTGCTGGCTTTTGTGAAGATATGTCGGCAAATTGACAATCCTTTCATACAACAACTTATTTCTTAAACGATTCTGTCTTGTTAAGATATTGCTTATATTTAAGAAGAGTTCACAAACGTTCACTTTGGTCAAGATATATTGAAATTCAGATATGCTTTTCGTACAACTTAGTTTTCGACTAATGGCAGCTATGTAATATTGCTGCCTGATAAGGCACATTTTGCTTGCAACAGAAATACGGATTATGCCGATGGCTGCATCGACTCGGCTCTTGAACATATACATATTCTAGGGTTAGAGAAGTTGCCTTCTATGCATTACAGATTCCATAACAACACAAAAATATCCTCTGCAATGTTATAAAAATACCATTTGCAAAATATATGATAAGGTTCGAATGCTTTTTGGGATTGTTCCTATCAAAATTGTAGTAGAAAAATGTTGTAATTCCTGCTTCGAATCAGTTAGATCTAAAATCAATATGCAGCTTGTTTTATATAAATAAAATCAGCTGATGTTGGATTAAATTATAATATGCACTGCATAGAAACATAATTCCCCAATTGAAGTCCTCATCCAAAAATACCCGTCTCTGGATGAACAATACGCCAACGAGGAGCTAAATAGTTGCAGCTCCAATAGCTGGACATTTTTAATCTAGTTAACACTAAGCCTTGCTCAGGCGACCCGTGTGCTGCTCAATCCAATCGATAAACGAGGCGACGCGTGTAAATATGTCCGGCAATTGGAGCTGGCACTTGTCATCGTAACCGTGTGAGACGATGCCAACGACAGTTAGGCTGCCATCGTTCAGGACCAAGGGGCCGCCCGAGTCGCCGCGACAGGGCAGTCCGCCCTTGGAATCAATGCACAGAAACGAGTCCAGTATGAGCTTGCGTTCGCCATTCAGCTGTTTGTTCCACAGACGCTCGCACAGCTTATTGGGAATGATCTTCACATTCAAATACTGCAATATGTCGGTGGGTCGCTGCTTGGCCGTCAGGCCCCAGCCGGAGCTGATGGCCGAGCGACCGTTCAGATTGAACTTATTCTTGCCCCTGGGCAGCCTGGCGGGCTGCGCATAGGCGCCCAGTTTTAGATCCTTGGGTAGGCGAATGAGTGCAATATCGTTGGCCACCGTGTGACGATCGTATAGAGGATGCACAATTGTGTCCTTTCGTCTGACCAACAGCTCTATGTGGCCGGGCTCGTCTTTTCTTGTCTTGTTCAGAGCGCCCGCGGTGACAATCACTTTGAGTCTGCAAATTGGAATGGTTTGTAAATAAATCCCGACTTGGCTTGTTGTTGGTTTTTATGCTCACAAATTTGTGTCCGGCTCCTGCAGGCAATGCGCTGCGGTCAGTATCCAACGTTTCGTTAGAATCGTGCCGCCACACAAACTGGGCTCATCGCCGGAGTTGCCGAAGTAGACATGCAGTGCCACCTGGTAGGGCAGTTGCTTGGGCTTCGCAGCCGAACCATTGATAATCCGTAAATGGCCCTGGCTGAGAATTTGCCACGGGCACAGCAGCAGCAGCAGCAGCACAAGCAGGTACAGTGTGTAGAAAGGCTGTCTCATTTGTTTGCTTAACTATGGAGTCGAGTTATCGTCCGCCTTATATATAGCCTTGGATAATAGCTCCAGTTTATAGCTCCCGAGCGTGCACTTCCCCTTATCAGAGCTTACATAATAAACAACTTTTCTGCGTGCTATCAGTTTATTAGTAAAAAAACTGCTTGAGCTTTCGCTACAGGGGATTATATGCATACATGACATTCTCTTATATATATATATATAAACAGTGAAAGCTCTACAGATGAACATTTGCCTTAGGCGAAACTGACTTTCGATCGGACGAAAACTAAAAAAAATGCAGCCTTCAATTTGGGAGTGGAATTACTTCGCCGTTTGTTGTTCGATCTTTACAATGTACATTCAGGTCTTAAGTATGGTATGCATACCTTATAGAAGAAAGGGATTTATTCCAGATCTGCATAAACTATACGAGACATACCTAATTTGGCAGCTCGTAAGCTGCGAGATATACTTTAAAGACAAGACTCGAAATCGATTTTTATTGATTCATCGCTGCGTTCAGACGGACGGACATGGCAAGATCGACTCGGCTGTCGAAAAATAAATACTTTATGGAGTTGGAAATGTCTGCTTTACATACATAAATATGCCCGCCTGTTTGTACTCATCAAAAATGGGTCTAAGGATGGCATTGTCTAGGAATATTTAAGAATTTAGAAAATATTAAATGAATCTGAGATTCTTCTTCCTATAATATCTTGGACTTTGAAGCGTTCGTCCGCTCAAGCGACTTTTCACTGTATACATATAGAGTATTATAGACAATTTAACGCTGCTTTCCAAACTTGTAGATTACTTCATGATGATACTTCTCGCCGGGACGCAATATGGTTGTGGGAAAATTGTCGTGATTCACCGAATCGGGAAACTTTTGCGTCTCCAGGCAGAAAGCGCCGTGTTTGGCATAGGCTGCGCCCGCTTTGCCCGGCAGCGGACTCTCCCTCTGCGCCTGGTTGGGCAAAAAGTTCGAGGTATAGAACTGTACGCCCGGCTGATTGCTGGCAATCTCTAGCCAGCGACCGCTTGGCGGATGCGCAACTCTCGCAATGTTCGTAATGCTCGCGGGCGGCGTAAACTTTACGCAAAAGTTGTCATCATAGCCACGCGCCGGCTCCAGCTGCCGGAGGCGTTCGCCCAGATTGCTGGCGATCCGTAAATCAAATTTGCCGCCATCCACGGGCAGTATTTTGCCCGTGGGTATGGAGTCCGCGTCCGTTTCGGTAATGCCATAGGCATTGATGGCAATCGTATGCTCGTAGAGTCCGGCTTGACCAGCCTTGTGCCCGGCCAGATTGAAGTAGGAATGATTGGTGAGATTCACGGGCGTCGCTTTGCTGCTCACCGCATCCATGCACACATGCAGGCAGTTGTCCTCGGTGAGCGTGAAACGCACCGTGGCGGTCACCTCGCCGGGATAGCCTTCGTGGCCATCGGGATTGGTGTGCGTCAGGCTGACGCCATTGGGCAGCACCTCCAGCACTTGCCAGTGCGCCTTGTTGAAGCCCACGAAGCCGCCGTGCAGCTGCAATTGGCCCCGGTTACGGCTGACCTCAATTGTCTTGCCGTCCAGCACAAAACGGCCATTGGCTATGCGATTGCAGACGCGCCCTACGGTGGCACCCATATAGGGATTCTGTTCGCTTTCATAGCCCGCCAAATCATCAAATCCGAGCGTCACGTCCTCCAACTGACCTTGAGAATCCGGCACCTTAATGCTGCTAATGGTGGCGCCCAGCGTTAGAATCTGCACGGACATCTGCTCATCGTTGCTCAGCGTAAAGCGTCGAATCGTGCCCGTTTCCTTGGTGAATGGATTCACTGCAGCCTCGGCGAAGACATCCTCTGTGACGTGCACCATGTCGATCCGACTTTGTTATGAGTTAAACACACACAAAACAGTCACTTAAGTAGCGGTGCACACTGCGAAAACCGCAAACACTTCATAAAGAACATATGTTTGTACGTAAATACATATGTACACACAATGTTGATAGAAAATATCTTATCAATGTGTTGCGTGAGTGCTGCCCGCCGCAAGCTCATTTCAAGGCATATCAGTTTAATATAAGTAGCACTTACTTGCATGCAGCAGAAACTTAGTTAATATACAATATTTAATTTGTGTTTTTTTAGCAAACAGTGATTTATTTTAGACACTTGCACTTGAAATGGCGCGACTTTACTTCGTCTTATCGATAGTATATTTAAAGACGTTCGATAGTTTACAGCTGGACTTGTTGCGCATGTTAATCATCGATTAATATTGGGATTCAGCTGAGCTCTGTTATTAGTGGCTTGAAGAGTCTGTTAGCAATTGTAGAGCAATGTATGCTGCACACTACAGTTGCGGCAAATGTAAAAGTCTACAGCAACAGAAACTGTGCAAATACTTTCAGGCACAACTTGAGGTGCTTTCATCTTTTAAATGCTTAATTTATTTTATTTAAATTTCCACTTGAAATGGCGCAATTTTGCCTCTTATGGATAGCATACTGATCCACTTGTTGCGTTTGCTGAAGTCAGCTGAGCTCTGTTATCCGTGGCTTGAAGTGAGTTGTGAATCAGTTAACAGTAGTTGGGCAGTACTCGCTTCAAATAACAGCTGCTGCCAATGTTAAGACCTACAACTACAGAGCCTTTAAAAACAATATACGGCTCGTTTAGATTTTTTAACTTCCTGAATGACAAATGCTGTTAAGTAGCTACCGCTTCGCTTAACAGTACAAGTTAGCAGCATGTTCGTGGGCATGTGTTAAGTGAACTAGTTTAACACTAATCTACTAATTAGTTCGTTCATTGAGCTAAGTCGAAAGTTCGAACGAACTAATTCCGAACGATTCGATGCAACTCTTTTTGTTTATAAAATCAAAATGGGCTTGACGTGGCAGCGGTTGAGATTTAATTTATTAGTGACCATTGGACTAACATCCTTTTGCCTGCTCATTAAAACAATTAGCGCACAAGAAGCACAACAACCATGGTACGAAAATTTGCCCGCAGTCGCCATGGACTATAAGGTATTTAATTGAAATTAGAAAGTGCACGAGCTAAACAACAATAAATATGTGCTCGAAATAATTTGTTAAATACAGGTACACATAGATGCCGGCAAGGAGGACTGCTATCATCAGTATGTGCAGGCAGGTGCCACCTTTTACGTCTCATTCAGCGTAAGTCTGCGAAATGCAAGCCCACGCATATTCTTCATGCTTTAACATTAACAGGTTGTGCGAGGCGGAGACGGCATGGCTGGCTTTGCCGTACGCAATCCGGCTGGCGAAATCGTGAAGCCCTACCAGTGGCAGGCCACGGCGGATTATACGGATCAAGTGTCGCCCGGCGGCTACTATTCCGTGTGCATTGACAATCAGTTCTCGCGCTTTGCGGGCAAACTGGTCAACATCTACATCACGGTGGTTAAGTACGATGCGTGGGACAAGTACGCCAAGGAGATCGAAGAGTTGCAGCTGAATATGCAAAACTTTACGACCACAATTGGCACCGTTGAGCGCAACATTAATGATATGCTCGGCTATCAGGCGCACAGCAGGCATCGTGAATCGCGCGATTATGCCCTGCTGCTGGACAACAATTCCTATATACAAACATTCTCCATTAGCCAGATTGTGGTCATTCTGATTACGTGCTCCATACAGGTGAACGGTTTTCCCACTGTTGCCAGTGTTGCCAATTCAGCTATTCTCAGAAAGCAGTTAAATTTTAAACGAATTTATATCACAATAACAACCCTGCACATAAGCTAGACTTAGCTATTTTTTACAATTTGGCAACACTGATTAACACTTTGAATTTGTTTATTATAACTTAAACAATTACTTTTCATTTCTAGGTATTCTTCGTGCGCAAACTGTTCGAAGTGAAGACTACCTCCAAGAGCCGTATTTAGTTGCTAATAGGACCTTTTTCATGGTCGCCAAACTTGCGGCATTTATGCACAAAGCTGTAAAAAAACACTTTTTTGCTTTCCCCCGTTCTTTTATATGTACTTCACACGTTCCCCAAGAGCACTGCACATACACACCAAGCATTCATCATGGAACCTATTATAATATGTAATTATTTTAATGTTGGCAAACAGAACAAGTGCAAACTTAACAGACTTCAACTACTGATATTTATCATTTGTCCATATATATACAACTTATGTGATAAATGAACATGTGTCTAGAGAGAGAGAGGAGTTTTTAATTAAATTAAAGTTTATATTTTATACTTGAGTATATGTATACATCACATTGTAAAGCTTCTTATTTGTATTTGGGTTTGTGTCTAGGCTAAGTTAAGTTAGTTTCCTGCAAGCTCTTGAAATCCCGTTGGATTCAGTGTTGCCAACTGCCGCTGAATCAATTTGAAATTTCAACTGAAACTAGCCAAATTTAGCTAGAAACCTGCTGCATTGGCAACACTGTCCGGATTATGCATAAAGTTGAGGTTAATTATAGTTTGCTTGATTTTCACGATAATTACTGATAATTATATATATTGTATCTATTGGTATTGGGCGGCGAATAGCTGGGTGCGTCTAGCTCGGAAAAAATGCCTTCGCCCGTATCGCTGCCCGGTCTGAGTACGCCCTCACTAAAATCAGAGCGTGTTTAATTTGAATATCGCATATTGGAAAACGAACTTTAGCCGAATTCCAAGTGTTTTTGTTTTTTTTTTTTAATTTGCTCACCCAAAGGCGCTGCCACCGAAGCGTCCCACATTGGGAGCCTGGTAATAATTATAAGGCGTCGCATTTATCCAGGAAGTAAGCATAAAAGCGCACAGCAAAAACGCGTAAATGTTGAGGAACTGCATTATCCAAAAGCTTGACGTCTTCTTTTATGTTTTTTATTTGTATTTAATAGCGGAACGAGCTACCGAAGCTGTCGCAATGAGTTTCAATCGAGTTATGCGGCTACCAACTGGAAGAATGGCACCTATTTATACTGTAGACCTGATTTTGACCAGTCTATTTACATATACGACAAACAGAACTAGTTTCCATATCATTGACGCTGTTTCTTAAAAGCGTTTTAATGGACAAGAGAAATTTAAATGGCATTTAACCATATATTTGTATTATTATAAACCAAAAGGTTAAATTTACAAACTATCCAACAACGGGACAGCTTTATGCATAGAGCTTCTTGCATTAGAGAACATTTAAATAATATTTAATATTTAATATTCAATGTTTATGTCAGTTCAGGGTACGTCAAACATTGAATTTAAAGTAACGGAAAAAAATCACAGCAAAACATGTCTTATTTTTTCGACAAATTGAAGCTGCCAAATAAGATTTTACTATGTCATAGTCATAGTAACAATCGGCGACCGGTTAAGTTCTATTCTCCATTAATCTGATTTCTTGGTAAGAAATGAGCTCATAAATACTGAACGATTGATGTTATTCATACACATTTATCCGTTTTTTTTGCGGTTCCGGAATTCAAATTTGTATGTTTTTTTGTTAGGAAAATTTGACCTCCAATTGGAGAAAAAAGGGCGATGTACGAAAAAAATAAACAACAACAAACGAGACGGCATAAGGCTTAGGTGTCTGTGCGTCAGACCAGCAAGCGAGAGGTCGCTGGTTCGAGGATGGAATATATAGAATGTACGAAAAACATAAACAACAACGAACGAGACGTTATAAGGCTTATATGGCTTAGCTTTCTGTGCGTCGAACCAGCATGCGAGAGGTCGCTGGTTCGAAGTTAACAAAACGTTGTTTACAGAAGTAATTTCGTTGCAATTGAGCCGGGCGACGCCGGGTAATTTAGTCTCGAAAATGTGCAACAAAAGTTGACAGGAAAAGGGGAAGAGCTGTGAACCAGGTTCAGGAACCGAACCATGAGCCGAACCAGAGCATGAAAAAGTGGTTCATGAACTTGCGACAATATGAGAAGCTACATTTAAACAAAGTGTTTCTTAAAATATGTCAAACTAAAATATTTGTAAACTAGCTTTAGTTGCGCAATATAAATAATCGTTTTGCCTATGAGAATTTAATTTAATTGAATTTATTTATGTAAAAGCACACACACAGGCACACTCATGTTAATTACATAACTTAAAATGCGATTATGTGTGCGCTTATCTGCGGCGTCTTCTTGGCCAATTGCCGCTTCGCACAGTTTCCCAGCTGCGCCTTAAAGTAGGCAGCACTAAAAATGAAGCCGCAAATGATGCGAGCTGGGCCCCAAACTAAGCGCCTAATGGCCCGCACACAGATAAGTGAGTGCCTGAGTGTGTGTGTGTGTGTGTGTGTGTTAGTGCTGGTTCTTTAACTGTTTTAAGCGCCATTGTTAAAATATTGCTCATACGCACTTCCGCCCGAAATGGGGTCTTTGCTTGGACTAATGATGCCAGCGCCGCAGCCAGTGCTGCCCAAGAAATTGCAGCAGCGGCAGCAGCAGCAGCCAGTGTGCACAACGTCGACTGCAGTTCAGATGTGGCTCCGCCCACTTTTGGCTAAGCGCAGAGATAAACATTGCGGGCGAAAGGGAGCGCGCGTGCGCATCAACCACCGCAAAAGGAAGCGTTCATAATGGGGTGCAGCTGCCGCTGCTCGGGCATCCTTTTGATGTGAGCCCTGCTGATTGCGGCCACCCGAATGTGGGAGGAGTATGTGTGTGCCGGGCGCCATCTTGAGAGCGCGCGCACGAGATGATTTGTGCCTCATTGTGCGGCCAGGCCAGGCGAGCCTTTTTGTGTATGGCCAGCGGGACATACACATTAACTTGGAGTGCGCGTTACCGTTACGACACGTCGAGCGGAGCTGCATAATAATAACGGCACTTTGCGGTCGAGTATACGTCGGTCCACACACACACACACGCACACACAGGA